GGAAAATCTTGTTATAGAAAATCCTAATAGAAAGCATAAAGACTTTCTTTACCTTAAATATTTTCTTGTGGTTATTTTTTCATACGGGACGACAAAAAGGTGGTCTAACTGAAAAGTTTTTCTTACAAAGATAATTCGTCAGAGCATCGAGCATACAATAAGAACTAGAGCGTCGCCTCAAGAACTATGATTTGGCTTAAGTATGCTCCTTCGATTCTCCATGCAAAGTTATCATGAAATCCAAAATACGTGATTTTAGAACTTTGTTAATCTCAATATATCAAATGTTCGATATCGGCTACAATTTCGACACACACTAAGATGAAGCAATGCATGTTCGGAAAGTTCGTACATAGCTCCTTTCAACCGAAACAACCTCTCATTCGACAGAGAATTCCCAACCAAACAAGAAGATCTATTCATCGATTTGTTTTCGGTCGAGTATGAGTTAAGGAGAGTCAAATACCTCGATCTTGAATAAGTCAGAAAACTGAATCTGTACTTCAGTCGCTGTGTTAGCATTGACTCCGAAACAGCATTTTTTTTTTTAAAATTGAGGAACAACTCGGGAACCACAATATACTGCCAAAATTCTAATATCGTAAGAAAAATCTTGAAGCGGAAAATTCTTCTGTGAACGTTGATTTCATTTCAAAAACAACATAAACAAGAAACGCATACGTGCGTATTGGTGTAAGGTTGACATACACGCACTTAGTAAAATTATTAGAAGGCATAATTACCATCGTAGCTGCTTGTTCGCTTGTCATGCTAAGTCTGATCTCGATTTGAACATCTATTCGTTCGCTAAATGATAGAGATTTTCAAAATGGAAACTCTATGTTTTTGTGGTCGTTGCAGGAAAAAAGGGGCTGTTGTACCTTGGTATTTTTTCATCGATCACTTCATATCTTAAAGTATTGGAAAAAACCTTTTCGTACCTCCAACATCGGCGGAGGATTCATTCTCTTCGCTGAAAATATTCTGGTACGTAAATAAGGTAGGAGAAAAGCACAACAGAAAAAAGAGACGACTGAGTCGTCTCTTTTTTCTCTTGCTTTCTCTTTCCAACATTCCAATTCAGACATGTAACAACGAAAAGACGACCACTCCTTTTTCCTTTTCTACTGTTATAATCCACGTGCAATTCTCAAAACTTCAATACACCTATCCTTTCAACATAAAATAATTTTTTGTCCTGTTGTTCGTCAAGATTCCTCGTTTATCATCGATTGCCTCTCTTTCAAGTGTCAACTGAATTAGATGAAGCCTCAAAGTCTTTAAAAACACCACAACTTGTTCTAGTAAATTTGGAGTTTTTACTTTTCGCTGCAAGTCGAACTCCAAAGCATTGAACAAATTTCGTACGCCTATCAGCCTCGAAAGGCCGCATAAAATCTTTTTGAATCATTGAGGGGTTTCCAAGGACTGAGAAATGGGAATTCTCCCAATTCCTAATAATACCATACAAATATATATAATTCCCTGAGGAATTGAGAAATGACCATCATTCACTACGCATTTCCTGGACAATTCCCGGTTAGGTATTAACGTGACAAGGAAATAACATAAACATTACGCCCGCAATTCCTTCTGAATTCCTCAATTGCTTCGAAGGAAATGAGCTCATGACAACACCTAAAGTAAGGAACCGAGAAAATGAGTAGAACTGATAGTCAGTTCCCCGTCAGGGAACTACTGACATTTTCCTTATAAAGATAACCGAAAATAAATGCAATAGCAATCATAAACACAAAACTTTGTTGGAAAAAGAAAAAACAGCCGGGGAATCGAGGAATTGACTCAGTTCTGCCGACAGTTCCTCAGTTCTTACTGGGCACCTTTAAGGAACCTAGTATCAGTTTCCGGCGGAATTGGCGGAACTGAGGTGAAACAATAAAACAACAAAGCAGCAAATCTTCCTCAACATAATTAGCAAGTTTGACTGTAGTCTGACACCGCGCAGGTAGTCGAATGATTGTAACTTATTTATGACTCATACAGACTTTGAAATTCCGTCCACCAACCTGCTGACAGTCTATTTCCACTTATCGTTAAACGTGCCTCGCTTGCGAGACAACGACACACGACGAGTCTCACAAGAGGAAGATTTGCTGCTTTGTTGTTCTATTGTTTCACCTCAGTTCCGCCAATTCCGCCGGAAACTGATACTAGGTTCCTTAAAGGTGCCCAGTAAGAACTGTCTAGACAGTGAAAGTTTCTATGAAGTTGATTTTCATCAATCCAAACTATATGTGTTTAATCTTAAGCCAACACGATTATACAACTATATTCTTTTATACACTTCTCGGTTTTTTATCATTCAAATTCTCAGAAAATTACTTTTCGCAAATCAACAATAACGCTCATTTTGTAAATTATATAACTCAGCCAAAATAAGTCAGTAGAAAAAAACTTTTTTTTCATAACTCAGTTTTGATAGTAGAACCCGAAAAGGTAAAAAGTATATTGGTGACTCGATTTCTTGATGGGCTGACGGACCGTCTCTCTTAAATACTTCTCTTAACTTCTGCAAGTTTTTGTCTATTAGTAGGTACTTGCAGTGGCGGATCTACGAAAAATTTCAGAAAATTCAAGTACCATACTTGAAGGGTTATTTTTCTTTTGTCGTTAATATATTTTGTATTTCTGAAATTTTGAAAAACATTTATTTTTATGTTATTTTTCTGATCACATATTAAATCATTGACTCGATTTCTTGATAGGCCGACGAACCGTCCCCTAAGTAAACCATGGAAAGTAGGACAACTTAAAAGAAGAGGAATATTATTGTTTAATTGAAGACCGTGCTGAAGTAATAATGAACACCAAGCCAGTATGGCGCTTCGACCAGTTAGTCATACAGTAAGACCGGTCACAGATGCACTTTAATTATCTACAGATAGATCACACGGTATCTTTCTTGATTATAGTTTCCAAAACGTCTTACCTTTCTGATCGACACGAATTGTTTAACATGTATTCCTTGCAAAGGGGAAAAAGCATACTTCTGTACTTCTCGGTACTTCTCCGTACTTCTTGATACTTCTTCGTACTTTTTTGTACTTCTGAAGTACGAAGTACAAAATACGCTTTTCCCCTTTCGTACTTCGTACTTCAGAAGTACGGAGAAGTATCAAGAAGTACGGAGAAGCACCGAGAAGTACAGAAGTATGCTTTTTCCCCCTTGATTCCTTGTCTGGTTAGTCATTTACTTTTTTAATCCTTTCTCTTACATAGAAAATGACGTCAAAAGTACTGCATAAAAAAGAAAGAAATTCAGTATTTATAATTTGTAAGGACAGTTTAAATCATCATACTTATTCAGCGGTAGTTTTGTTGTATTTTTAATTTTAATTTATTCTAAACTATGCGACGAAATAAAATTATGGAAAAAACACAAAATCAATTTTGTATAAATAAAGATTCGAACATATGAGCTTTGGTTTGCAGTAAACTGCAGAACCAAATTCACTGTTCTGTGTCTATATTCTCTACAACGACTGACTTTGTGCAATCGACACGATGTATCAGCAGTTTTTGGTATGTTTTTTGTATTCTGTTTTTGATATAAGCTTTATTCTGCTAGAATACAAAGTTTTCATACTTTCTATGTAAGATTACGAAGAGAAAATTTCTGATTTTCCCTTTTTCACGAGATGTTCCCAGTTTCTTTTTAGCGAGCCTTTCATAGTTCTAAAATAACTCTTTTTAGATCAAGAAATTAGCCGTACAGTTGCATTTTTATTTTAATTCTAACTTTCCATAAACAGATGAACATATGAGTTTCATCCAAATTTTATATGAAAATTTTTGTTTTAAAGATTTCTCCCTAAATTTTGAAAATTTCAACGTACAATTTTCGAAAGGTCGGTTTTTCAAAAGAACTCTTTTGTACTTCAAAGAACTCTATGTAGACTTGCGCTTTTGCATGCCTCAAAGTAGGGTTCGTTTATTTAGCGAGAGTTAGTATTAAAACAAAAAATGCGACTATATGGTATCTTTCTTGGTTCCAGTTACAAAAGACACGGCCTGGCTACGTCACGTTATTGCAACAAATCGGCTATCATACTAATGATTCCGAAACCCCAAACGAGTAGCAAACAGAACGAAAACGAAAGCACGCTTATGAAAAAGGAGTTGAAAAATTAATGGAGAAAGGCAGAACATCCGACGATGATATTAGAAATGGAACCGAAAAAATACAGATTATAATTAACGAAAAACAAGCTGAAGCTGAAGAAACAAACAGCGAAGTTTACAAGCGTTATCAAAAAGATACTTATTATTCAGCGTGGAGAAAACGGACATGTACATATTTCGCGCAGTGTACTACTTGATTTTTCTAAGCTGTCTGAATGCTTGTTTCTAGAAAAACAGAAAAAGATTGAAATACAACATTCTCTGAATACATTTCTATTGTGTGATAAACGATGGTTGGGAAAGACACCCATTACAAAACAAAATATACGGCCGTTTACTTTGACTGGTGATATTAATGATACCATCTTTCCGTTGCTCGATGATATACGCGAAAATCCAGAAGAGTTTGCTCGATAGTTCTTCAAAAGATTCTCTCCTTTTAGTTTACATGTAGGTACAGGCTGTTGGTCCTCCATGAACGCTCATTCGTGGAGAGCTATCGATCCATTCGGAAAAATTTCAGCGAAAGATCTACAACTCATTAATCGCACATTTGGTGTACCATCATCACAAACGCATAAAAGAAATAATTATTATTTAAGTTGGGGACGTATGGGTTTCTATAATGGTTCAGCAGTTGAAGTCGATGACGTTAGAACAGAACCTAAAGCACCCGATAACGACTTGAAAGTACGACGAGGACAACGAACGACAAGATATTTTGTGAAAAATGATAAGAAAAGACAACAACAAATATATGAGTGTGTTCGAAATTTTTTGCAACAAAAACATCGGAATACGTTAGAATTTGATGAATTGTAACACAACAAAACTTTCGAGCAATTTCACAGATACACCAAAATACATGTAAGCAATCAGAAATTGCAAAAACCTTACAGGCAGGGCTGACAGGATACTTCAAAAAATAACCTTCTTGGGCGATTATTTACTTTTGTTTTATTTATAAAACTGATCTTGTATTGTGAGAGAGAATCAGTATTTAGTGACGATGCTCCACTGAATTGACAGCATTCATATAACCTTGAGCTAAACTTGAAAACATAACACTGATCGGATAAGTGAGAAACAGGAGTAAACAAATGTTATTATAGATGGAAAAGGAACTGATGACGCTCGAATTAAAAGCAGAATAAATCTAGAGAATATTTGATGACATAATAGAGTATAATGAGCTGCGTCGAATGGGGTTTTAACGCACTTTTCAGCTCTCTAATTTTCCGAGATAATTGAAAAAAAGTGTGTCAAAAACATAACAGCGTTACATTTGGACACGCCGTTGACCTGCACGATGCATTTTTAGTACAACAAGTAATTACAGGAAAGTCTTGCCAAAAGTTCTGAGAAAGAAGCATTTTGGAAGAAAAGTTTTTAAATTTCAAATATTTCCTCAGTCATTTCACGCTAATATGATACTGAACAGCTTTTGCTCCCACACTTTTCTTCCATAATGCCTTCCTGAAGAAAGCAGTTTAAAACTCTGAGCGCCTATATATCGATTGGTTACAGAACCGAGGTTTCAAACTGAAAAATAAAAATTTTATTTAAATTTTAAAAGGCAGAAAAGGCCAAAAAAACTTAAAAATTTTTTCTAGAAACTGTAAGTCCGTAAACCTCCAAACTCTATCGATATATGTGTTGAAGTATCCTCTACAATGTGGCAAAGTTTGGATCAAATCTAAATGGATAGGCCCCCTTAAGGGAGTCCCCCATTTAGGTTTTCGCCCAACGCTCCCAGTTTGTAGAGGATACTTCGAGGTATATGTCCTGACGTTTTCTCGGCTTCCTGGCAATATTATTAAGCTTTTGAACAAGGGACTATTATTAAAAGAATTCCTGTCCATTCTCCGTTCATCATAAAAGCTTGGTTCTTGTCTAGATCGGTAGAGGAATGTGTGGAGAATATTTGCTACGAGAAAATATGTAAAACGTTTTGTTCTTTCCTTCCTGTTATTGACTAATTAGCACTAATTAAGGTTAATTGAGCCTGCTCTACTAGCTTACAGCCTCATTTGCAAAATAAGGACTCGACAAAAGAACTTAAGCTATACCTCACCTGACAAAGACTTTCACGAGCTACAAGACTGGCTAACTTAAGAGTTTCAGAATCCAATTCATTCATTAGAATTTTTTATAACAGTACCGCGTTCAAAAATTTAATAATATTTTTTTAAGTATACATAGACGACGTATTTCACGTGCTTGCTCCAGAGTTTCACCCATTGGTTTCTGTAGGGATCATCTTTGCAGAATGTCCGGAAAAGAAAAAGAGAAGCAAATTTTCTAATCGAGCTTTTTTCCAAACGCGAATAAGTTTCTGAAAGTTTAAGTCCAGTCCAGTCCGGATCGATGACCTCAAAAAATTTCCATTCCTTACAGAGTGCTGGCTCTATGATATATTGTCTATATTCTGTAAGTTTCACCATCCGTAGACGCCTTTTTTTGTAATACCAAAGTTAACTGATTTCTTGCGACATCTATCGCTGAACTGCAGTAAAGGTTTGGTTAGCTTTTCGTTCTCTGCACCAGTAGATGTTTCAGGTCATCTCTTTGAATATTTTCACTCTCGTAGTTAAAAAATATTTTCTATTTTTCTCCTTTATGATTGGCCTATCCACAGAATATACATGCCTGTTAGCCGTTTTTCCGTATTTTGAGCACAGACAACCATTTTGTAACACCCTACACTAAAGTCAAGGGAAAAAGTATTTTA